TATACTTCTTTTTTTTTATGTACTTATTAAAGGTCTTTAAATGCGATCTATATATCGATCTTAACGAACTTTTTGCAAATCCAGACATCAGACTTGAAGTTCAGGTCATTCGAATTTATGGTGATATAATTAAACTTTCAAGGGATTTGCAAATTCCAAAGATGGTTGGTTGTAGTGCTATACTGATAGCCGCAAGACGATTTGAAATCGAACCAGGATGTCAAATTCTAGTTAATTTCAAAGTATCATTTCGTATTATTATATATGCTATGGAGATATCTTCTGAACTTACAATAATAGCGAAAAGTCAATTGGAAAATAGTGAAGCCGAATCTCTTAAACTTAAAATCGATACTACAAATGAAAAAATTGGTAAATTGCTTTCTCTACAAAACGGAAAAGATCCTGAATATAATGATATAAGTACTTTTGACAATCTGATTTTTAAGATAAAAGAAGAATCATTTCTTAAAATGCTACGATTCTCTTTGCAAATTGCATGTGCCTTGTTTTATGATGAACCAGAAATTACGCAGTCAATACTTTCTTGGATCGTTAAAATAACTAGCATACAATCTAGAGTAGAAAATTTTCAATCTGGAGTAGAAGAGTTATATCGTCAAGCATTGCCAGTTCTTATACAATTTGATGTCTTGAATGAAAGAAAACAAAATGAAATAACGTTTATCCCATTACTTGATAAAACACACTATGAAAACTGTATTGAAGAGTTTATAAAATCAGCACATTTATATGAAAATGAATACATGAAAATTCTAGATAAAAAAGATAACAATAATCAGAAAGAAATAGAATTTGAAATGTTGCTAAAAGATTGTAATGATATAACTAAAGTACATGAGCATTTAGAAGATAATGAACATGGACGTCATAAATCAGCATTTGATTTAATGACAAAATTGGGGAAAGAGCTAATGGTAATGTTGGCGCATTTATTTATAAAAATCAGCATGGTTCTGATGATTAGAATTTCTAGCAGCAATTAAAATACCAGATCAATTAGTCATGTCCTTATAAATTAATTTTCAAAATAAAAAAATATTTATCAAAATTTTATAATAGGATAAAAAAGACATCGCAGGCAAAAAGTTGACTGATTTTTAAGAAGGAATCAATAAATGGGAACAAGAAAAAATAACCGAAGCACAAAAAAAAATGGCCATTGCTGTAATTGACCTAGCATTAAGCATTGGTAAAATTGTTACTTGCCCTGGAGGCATAATAAGTTTTGTTGAGAATGTAGAAAAGACTTCTAATTCGATCAAAGAAAGCTTAATAGCTGTCAATTCAGTAAAAGAAATAATGGGTAAAATTAATGAGGCCAATGAGATTAATATTATAGAAAATGTAAATGATAATATTAAGAAAATTAAACAAATTAATGAAGATTTAAAGGGTAACCTCAGTAATGTTGAGGATTTGACTGATATTGTAGAAAAAAGAAAGGGAAAAATCGAATCATTGGATGTTAATGCACTTGCAAAAATGTAAGTTAGTCTTATTTTCTAAATGCAAAATAAGCATTTAATAATTTTGATAAATTCATGTAGGCTTGAAACAAAAGATCGAAAAGGAATTTATTTAAGAATGGTCGAATGGAAATCAATTAAAAAAGATATGAGAAATTTACTTAATTATGTAAATATGCAATTACTTAATGTAATCGTTTATTTTACTTATCATTATTGATCTTTTATAATTTGAATACTAGCCTATCGAGCAACAAATTAATGGAGCAGATGAATATTTAAATTCTTTGGATGATTTATTTAATTATATTGATACATATATTGAAGCAAAGATTGAAGAAATGGATAGTTTTAAAGAATATTCACGAATCAAATTGCAAGTAGAAATATTTAAAGAAAAAGAAATACGGCTTAAGGACATGATCGATGTTTATAAAGAAAAACAAGATAATTGTGATGAAATTAAATTTTTACTATTTGAACGCCTTATTAGTACTAAATGTTGGATGTCTACATATATAGAAAATTATCGTAGTGCTTACTATTACTCGTCCCTTTCAGAATCTAAAATTAAACCTTCAGTTATGAAAACTATTAGTCAGCACATGGATGATCGTAAAGATATTAAAATGGACATGGAAACGACACTTAATAAATTCAAAGGTCCACCTCAACCTTCAGAGCACTCAATTCATCTTACCGAAGAAAAGTATATTAAAAAATTTAAGCACGATAGATTCGTTTCATTCGAAATTCCATTGAATCACAAAGAATTTTTGAAGTGTGAACGCGTAAGACTTAACAAAATTGAAGTATTCTTGGAAGGAGTTGGATCTAAGGGTGATAGAATCTTTCTGCACATTAACAACACAGGTGTGTTTGCTGATAAATATGAAGGGAAAGTATATTTGTTTAGATCGGAACCTATGAGACCTAAAGTATTTGTATATGAAGTGCCTAATAATATAAAAACAAAGGCGTTATTCGCCTCAAAGGATTATTTTGTTCCTACACCATTTAGTCAATGGACAATTAAGTTCGATGATGATTGCCAGATTAATCTATCTGAATTGAAGTCGATTAATATTGAACTAAGTGTAGATTGTTATTTTGAAGTAAGTTATTAAATATTATATGTGCGGCACCAAGGGAAAACCAGACTTCAGGCTTTCAAGTTTATTATTTGTTATTTACTAGACAGACCCCGTCAGAAACGTAAAAAGATAAATTTAATTACGTGTTGCCATCGAAGATGAATCTGGTAAACAATAAATGGTTAACTTGAAATCCTGAAACCTGATTTTCTACGTTACTCATGTGTAATAATTTTAAATTATAAATTAAACTAGTCTTTTAATTATATAGAATAATTAAGCGAAAGGTTTAAAATTTTGAACACTCTCTATTGCATTGATATTAATGTTTGCGTTATAAAATTATTATTTATTTGTTTTCTTCTATAAATTTTATAAATTGTATAAATGTTGCATCTAAAATAGCGCCTGGCGATCTTCATGCATGCATTAAGTTATAATTTTAGCTACTTTAGATAAATCGCTACTTTAGATGAGACATAAGTATCATTGAGAGCACAAAATTCAGGATATAAATCAAAAATATCCCAATACTGTAAATTTGATTTCGTGCTCGAAGTTTCTTCATTATATGAGGAAGTAGTATAGTTATTGGAATTTAAACATCGAACATAAAAACTATGAATCATATTATAGATTATCCAAATTATAAAATAAGTATCTTTCGAAATTGGCATGAAGTACAAAGTAAATCATATAGTTGCAAAAAATTGCATAAACTGTGCACAATAAGCTAAAATTCTTTCTAGCATAACTCCCAAATCATTTACAAACAATATAATTGTTATTATATGCGTTTTTTTTTATTTTTCTCCCAGGGGTCTTTGTTCCTGAGATCGTCGTAGGATGAATTTCCAAGTGACTTTGTGATAAAATTTTTATTATATTATATGCATTTAAACTTCGTACGTAAATAATTTGGTGGGTATGCTAGGTTCGTAAGAAGAAAATGGACAATTCTACCTTAACAAATTAAAGAGGAGATACTGAGAATATGCATATAATAATGTAATTATAAATTGTACGAAAAAATAGATTTTTCCATCACAGAAGTAGCTGAAAAAAAGAGACTGCAATTACTATTTTTTCATCATTTTTAATCTGATGCCGACCGGTAGTCTTAGTGATGGAGAGGAATGAGAAGTTTGATTTGGTTTCAAATTAAACCAAAACAAACTAAGGGTGTTCTCAAGCTTCAACCTCGATGTGATTGCCTCGTGATCTTAATCGTGCACAACTATAATTATATTTACGCATAATGAACCAAATAAGCAAATTAAGAAGCAATCAAAGTTTGCTCAAACGCTATTCTCTATGCAATTAGCTAATAAACGTGACGATGCTCATTTACTATAATCAATCAAAATAAGAACTGCAATTGATGCTTGAGCAATACACTAATATTTTATCAAATG